CCAAGGTCTTCTTTAATTTCTTTCTTTAGCATTCTGTAGATTTTGTTGTAGAGGTCTTTCACTTCTTGGGTTAAGTTAATTACCAAATATTTTATTTTATTTTTTGAGGCTATTTTAAATGGGGTAGTTTTCCTCATTTACATTTCAGAGGATTTGTCACTGATATACAGAAATGCTTTTGATTTAAAAGTGTTGGCAGGGAAAAAGGCACACTCCTACATTGCTGATCAGACTGCAAAAATGGTGCAGCCAAAATGGGGAGCTGTATGGAGATTCCTTGGAAAACTTGCATTGGAACCACCATTTGACCCACCTATCCCAATCCTTGGTCTATACCCAAAGGATTTAAAAACAGCATACTACAGGTACACAGCCACATCAATGTTTATTGCAGCACAATTCACAATAGCTAAACTGTGGAACCAACCTAGATGCCCTTCAGTAGTTGAATGGATGAGAAAATGTGATATATATACACAATGAAATATTATTCAGCAATAAAAGAGAATAAAACTATGGCTGCTTTTATGTGTCTGAATCACCCAGAGTGGGAAGAGAACACCATCTAACCTGAGGGTTTAGTAGTTAAAGATGAGACCACAAGGTGGCAGTCTACCCCAGCTGGTGCAGAATAAGTGGAGGGTTAATTGTAGTGGATTCTGAATAAAGAGGTTTATAGTAGAAGCAGAGCCTTGTCCTTATTGGTTGGGTAGACAATATGAGAAGCTGCTATAATTGTTAGAGAAAGAAAGTGACAACCTGACAAGAAATAGCTCTCCTGGCTAGAGATATCAAGTCTATTGTCCAAAGGGAGAAACGATGGAGACATTGATTTATGCTTTATTCATATTCTTGTGGCTGCATCTGACCTGTGAGTTGAAGACTAGGGTATAATAGAGATACTACTGGGTGTTCTTTTGATGTCTAGGGAGAAGACTGGCTTTATTCAGAGCTCCTTCATATCCTGTAGTAAAAGAAAATTCTAGAGAGCAATGACCTGACAAACTCTCTCCTTTCTCTTTTTCATTTTCAGGTGTCAGCCAAGGAGAGAAGGTGGAGCAGCACCCTTCTACCCTGAGTGTCCAGGAGGGAGACAGTGCTGATATCAACTGTACTTATTCAGAGAGTGGTTCATCTTACTTCCCCTGGTATAAGCAAGAAGATGGAAAAGGTCCCCAGATGATTATAGACATTCATTCAAATAAGGAGATAAATCAAATCCAAAGATTCATTGTTGTGTTGGATAAGAAAGCCAAACACTTCTCCCTGAACATCACAGCCACCCAACCTGGAGACTCAGCTGTCTACTTCTGTGCAGCTGATGCACGATGCTTCCCAAACACCTGCAGCCTGTACTCAAACCTATCACTGGGCTGAGCCCCACCTGCTTCGTTTTTTTGCAAAGACCTTCCAGTATTGCATTTTCTATATTGTTATTTTTGCAAGTGGAATCTAGCATATAGGCATTCAAAGTATATAATACATACAGTGGGTTCAAGATGACCCAGAGAGGGTCAGAACATTTTGTTAGCTGATAGTTCTTAACTGATTCTTTTTTTTCTATTTTTATTTTACATATTTAAAGTACATAACATGATGGTTTGATATACAAAAACATAGTGAAAATGAACAGCTAGATGGAGTGATGTGAGATAAAGAGGGCAAGGTGTGGCACAAGAACTTCATGACCACTCTGGGCTCCTCACACCCAGGCACCCTCACATCTTCAGCAATCCTAAACCTGCACATAATGGATTCTTCCAGGGAACAAATGATGTTTTGTTTTGCAACCTAGTTTTTAAAGATAACATTTGCTATTTTGACTTCTCTCCTATAAATATCACTTACTAACCAATATCACAGTCCTTGTCAGATATGGGCTACTGGTGCTTTAGAAAATTATACTTGTTATTTTTTTTATTATAAAAAATTACATGTTAAACATAGAAAATATGTAAAATATAATATATGAAATTGCTTTTTCTGTACCATGATAAGTGTTGCTAATATTTAGTCAAAGCTTCCAATACAGTAGAAAGGTAAAATCATCAAGTTTGGAGATGTAAAATCTAAGACTATAGATAATAAAATTGTTGAATAGATTTTTTAGCTACTGTCAAATGTACAAAAAGTTATATAAAATGAAAGATATGTTAATTTGCTTCACTATATAACCACTTTACCACCTATATGTATCCTATAATATCCTGTTGTAAATCTTGAATACACTGTAAGGATTCTGGCTGTGGAAATGTACAAGGCAGCATTCATCTGGTGAGCAAACTCCTGGGGGGAAACCGGTGCCCCATTTTCCACACTTGGAATATTCTGCAGTTTTTTTCTAGGAACTACTAAGATAACTAATACATGTGCAATGCCTAGCTGCTATGATAATGCCCTGCATGAGGAGGATCTGTGCCAGAGTCTTATTAGCTTTGACCTTGATCTCAGGTGCTCAGCTCGTGGGAATAAAGGAATTCTGTTGTTGGACAACCACAATGTCACACCAAGCTCTGCTGAGCCTGAACATAACAGTAACATAACAGTAACTTTAAACAATGGGCTTTCTTGAGAGCTACACGAAGCTCCTAACATTTCACATTACAACTGCAGTATGTAACTGAGAGAGAAGCAGCATAATGTTGCTAACTCTGTAACCTGCCTAATGCCACAATGAACAATAATGTGCTACTGATGCCAGTGACCAAATGTAACCTATTGATATAAATAAAGCTGGCAGCTCAGGCGAGCAGCTTTTGCTTTGCCTCTGCATCTTGCCTCTGTCTCCTTTTGCTTTCCTTACAACATACACAGCAAAATTAACTAAAAGAAACATGTTATTTCTTTCTACTTATTTGTGTCTTTATTTCTTGATGAACTTTTATTGTTTTGAGATGATTACATTTATTCCTATGCATTTCGCTTTTATTGCTATCTTATAATTCTTTCTGGTATATGTGAGAAAATTTTTATATCTACATTTTAACTACCACATTGAAAACTTACTACCAGATTACAATAATTTGGATTAATGGTCTATTTACTTATAGCTTGCTACAGAGATTTCTGTTTGAAAGTCTTCCATGTGCTGTCTGTGTTGTGCCAGAGCATGTGTGTTTCAAGAATCCTGGGTCAGTGCTCATCTTCTGTGAACTGTCTGTTTATGGAGACCCTCTGAAGAAGCTTAGTTGATATCTTTTTTTCTTTCTTGTTTTCTTTCTTTTTTTTTTTTTTTTTTTTTGGTAATGGGGATTGAGCTCAGGGGCACTCAACTACCGAGCCACATCCCCAGCCCTATTTCACTTTTTATTTAGAGACAGGGTCTTACTGAGTTGCTTAGTGCCTTGTTTTTGCTGAAGCTGGCTTTGAACTTGTGTTCCTCCTGCCTCAGCCTCCTGAGCCACTGGGATTATAGGTACATGCCACTAAGCCTAGCTAGTTGAAATAACTTACCTGGCATGATCCCTGTTCAAAATTTGGCATGAGAGTGTCAAAATATTGATTGTGGAAATGGATACTTCTTGACTGACAGAAGTACAGTTGTGACCCTCCATTGAGTGAGAAGTGTAATGAAGCTGAATACTATAAGGAGAAATTAATTATACCTTATAGTTGATGGACCACCTGGTAGAAAAATATTGGTGTTTGAGAGAAGAACAGTGTACTGTATGTGGTATCAGATTTAATGGAGATTCCAGTACAAATCTGAGAATACTTCAACCAATCTAGACAAGAGTAACATTATTTTGAGAAGAGGATAAGCTTTGGCTACTGTATCACCAAGTAGGGATGACAGGCATTGGTTTATTGTTGGCATTTTGTTGAGTAGTATCTTTAGGGAATGGCCTTGTCCTTTTTAGTAGTTTACCTGTTTATTTATTTATTATATCTTTTCATGTTTTTTATTGGTGCATTATAGTTCTACATGATGATGAGACTTGTTGTTACATATTTGTACATGTGCACAATATAACATTATAATTTGACCAATATAATTCCCTAGCCCTTCCCTCATCCCTCTCCTCATTACCACCCCTGGTCCTTTTCCTTGAATTGATCTCCCTTTGATTTTTCACAAGATTCCCACCCTTTACCTGTGTCTCCATTTTTCCTTTCCAGCTTCCACATATGAAGGAAAACATGTAACCCTTGACTCTGAGTCTGGCTTATTTCACTTACTATAATGCTCTCAAGTTCCATCTATCCTACAAAAGACATAATTTCATTTTTCCTTATGGATTAATAAAACTCCATTGTGTATATGTATATATACCACATTTTCTTTACCCATTTATTTATTGATGGACACCTAGGCTGCAGGTTCAATAGTTGTTAAATTAAGAAGTGGGTCTGGGTTGGTGAGATTGCCAATCACACACACAGCAGTTAGACATGACTTCCTTTCCTGTTCTGGGGCAGCAGCAGCTTGGAGCTCAGTAGTACCTCCCTCACCCTATCAGCCTTCCCACCCAGTACAGAGCACTGGAGTCAAAGAAGAATTTCTTCTGAAGGAAGAAGGCAAACATGGTGCTGCCCAGACTGCTGAAACTGGTCATAGTGTCCATGTGGCTGGGTAGGAATGGTCCCTGTGGGAAGGGGCCTTTTTTGTGACCTAGAGATTGGGGGACAGGATAGCCTTAAAGGGACTTTGGGAGGGATGGTTAGCAGTGTGCAAAAGTGCACCTGTTTTGTCCCAAGAACTTGTCCCTCAACTTTCTGATTCTGTCCTTTTTCCTTCAGGATCCAGTTTTGCCCAGAAGGTGACTCAAGCCCAGCCAGCCATGTGGGTGCAAGAGAAGGAGGCTGTGAGCCTGCACTGCTCCTATGACACCAGTGCTGGAAGTTATGATCTCCTCTGGTACAAGCAGCCCAGCAGTGGGGAGATGGTCTTCCTCATCCTTCAGAACTCTTACAGCCAGCAAAATGCCACAGAAGGTCGCTACTCAGTGAATTTGCAGAAGGCAAGCAAATCCATTCAACTTGTCATCTCAGCCTCACAGCTGGGGGACTCAGCAGTGTATTTCTGTGCACTGAGAGATAGATAGCACAGTGAGAGAACTGTTGGAGGCAGTTGTACAAAAACCAGGGTCTGCCTGAGACAGCCACCTGCTGTAGGGACCAAGGCAGCTAATGCCACTTCAGACAGGAAGTGGCCAGGGTTGTGGTGGCTCCTGTCTGGGGTTGGAGGGAAAATACTTATTCTGAGGAAATTCTGCTCTCTTTGTTTCATTCAATAATACTCTCAGCAAATAGTTTATAGTAAATTTTATTGCCTTTTACAACAAATCACTCCTTAGCAGTACACTTTGAAGAAATTCTTACACATTTATTTTTCAATATAAATATTGTTTTATTTCATTTTCTCTGTGTTCAATAACTCTCCATTAAAAGAAGTGAAAACACAAATAAAATAAAAAACTTGTTTAAAGCAAAATGAGGAATTACTTTAATGAATACATTAACATATGAAGTATCAACTTATTAGTTATTTTTTTAATTCAGAAAAAGGCTAATTGCTCAATTCATAAAGGACCTTTTATGTTCTTCAATTATTTTGAAGTCTTATCTGTATCTTCAATTGAATTTATCTAAATTTATTCCTACAAATTCAGTTACAACTGAATTTTTTATATATTAATTGTTGCTGATATCCCAAGTACAAACAATGCTTATTTTAAAAATCACATTGGTTTTATAGCTAAGTGTTTCTAAATTTTAAAGTTGCCATGTAAACTTACTACCTAAATTATTATATTTTATTTTATGAGGCTATGTTTACCATATTCTGACACATAAAATGATAGAATAACCAAATAATAACTCTTGAATTAAGCTCAAGATGCCCTTGATAATTGGCGAGTAACATATTTTTTTTTTAAATTTGGACTCTTTTTTCTATGATGTCAGAAAAGCTTTTAATCATGAATTTATCTAAGAGCTGTATCTCATGGTGAACACAGGTCTCTTTATTCCCCCCAGATAGGATCCATGGAGACTCAGTGACCTTTTTAGAAGGGGCTTTGCTGAATATAAACTGCACTTACTCAGCCTTGAAATACCCTCTGGTATGGTCAATACCCTGGAGAAGGTCCACAGCCCCTACTGAAAGCTGTGAAGGCCAATGATAAGGGAATTGAGAAAGGTTTTGAAGGCACATACAAGAGAGAAACTACCTCCTTCCATTTGGAGAAAACTTCTGTCCAAGAATCAGACTTGGCTATGTACTACTGTGCTCTAGGTGACACAGTGTCAGAAACTGAGGTGGAACTGAGTGCAAACTCTGGCAAACTCAGGGGCCTGGGTGCTAAGCGACTGCCTCTGATATCTCTTTGGTTTAAGGACCAGAAACTAGTCTACTAGTGTAGCCACCCATGAAGCATTGCTATAAAACTCTTCCAAACCAACCCTAAGAACACAGTAAGAGAATATGAAGCAAATTTACTTCACATAAGATTCTTCAAAGGTTAGAGTGGAAACTGTCACCATACTTCTTCAACTACTCCTGAAACTTGTGATTTTAAAAGCATAAAACCTCAAGGTGAGTGAAATAATATATATGTCTATCTTTGCATATAATTTTATCCCCTGACCTTGTCTCAGATCCTTCAAGAAAATATTGTTTAGAAAAACATTTGTGGTTACTGAGAGTGTGAATGCTTAATGTGTCCATGAGAAGCTCATGATTCCTGAAGAAAGTTTTAGCCCAAGAAATAGTAAAATTTTAAAGAAAGAAAAGAATGCAAAGAGTGAAGGGGAAGTAGGGATTCCCACATTTGAAAAGATAAGATGAACATTTTTTTTTTTAATTTCTTTGGTGAATGTATATGCATACATGCATGGGGAGTTCTCCAAAAAAGATTACCATTGACCAAAAACTGTAGAGATATCTCTTTCCATAATTTCTCAGCAATCTTTCTTTCTATCATTAAGATAGTACCTGAGATAGATTGGAAGTGTCCAGGATCTGGAGTATAAAAATTCTACTGGGATAAAATTCTTTCACTGCAGTTTGGTGGGAATCTGAACTTCCTCTATATCTTTGCACCATTTCTCCCACAGAAGGGGAGGAGTAACTAAATGGAGTGGGAGATGGTGCTCAGGGCTATGAGAGAAGAAGGATGGCAAACAAGAAGACTCTTTGGACTTAATTGCAGAGGATCTGGTGTCTTTGCAAATATTGGAGATTTTCTTTTGGGTTGTTTATTATAGGTGATTAATGTATATCAGTTTATTGACCCATTAAAGTGTGCATTTTGCTTGTGGGAATTGTTCTTGAGCACAATAAATGAGAGTGAGAGGATGCTGTCCATTATTTTCTGTCTCAGAGTCTGCAGAAGAATGCCACTTGGCAGATTACTAACATTGGTTTCTTTAAAACTGGTGACAATAACATTGTCATTGTTGTGGGGAAGGTCACTCAGAAAATACACCAAGTCCCAGTTTTGTCCAAATTGAAGAGTCTTTATTTAGCCAGCCAGCTGGTGACTGCTCCCTGCAGGACCCATAACTGTCTCTGCAAGGAACAGCCCCACGCCTGAGCATTTTAGGATATTTAAAGGCAAAAACCACATCTGGGTTGACATAGCTGTAAGCAAGCAACTATGTCAATAAAATGATGTACAGAAGCTGGATTGGGCAGTTAGTGAGACAATGTGATGGGTACATTGGTATTTCCCACAGGACTTTCCAGGTTGGCATAGCAGCAAGCAAGCAAGCAGAAGGGAAGTGGGTCAAAATGACCCTAGTTGACTACAAGTTAGAGAATGGTTACTAATGTCTAGACAAACAATCTCTGACAAGGGATATTGTCCAAGAAAAATGAAAAACAAAAAGAAAAATTTTACATTGTATAAGAATTGCTATTTTGTGTTGCCAAGTATGTTATGTTCGGTAACTATTAACTAATGGGTACAGAGGTGGGGCTTCCCTGCAGGAGAAGCATTTATTAATGATATGGAGTCTCAGGGTAAAATGGAGTCTGTTTGGTCATTGCCCATATAGCCTGGCCCATAACATCATTGTCATTAAAGGAACATTGTCTATAAATCTCTCATTTTTCATCATTATCAATTTTAGGCTTCCCTTTTATCTTTTTACTCCCCCCCCAGAGGTCCATCTCTAGAGCTTATTAGCTAGATGATTAATAACTACTCATATAACATAAATAATTTATGTACATAGGATAAAACAACTTTAAATAGGTCAAATAATATAGAGAAAGAACTAATTTATTTTGTGAAGTATGGTAGATTGCACATGTGTCCACTTCTGTCTCTCTAAAACTCCAACAAGAGGGTATTTCAAGAGGCAAAATTCCATGATCATGAAGACAATGGAAAAAAAGAACATTGCAGATGAAATTCCAGAAATATCAGAAAAGTTGAAGCAAAATATAAACGTAACAGACTTCAAAGAGCTGAGAAATGTGAAACCAAATCTTGCAGAAGGGGAATCTAGGAAGAAGATTTCCAGGCCCACTGTTTTGCTTGGCCCAGGAACTGGAGGCAACAGTGACTTTCCTTTTAAATACTGGGGGATGAGGATGCTTGGGGAGGTGTCTGGCTTTAAAATAGGAGAACTGCTTAAAGGACTTTGTAAGTAGCACTTCAACCACCATACCCTCCACCACCTCTACAACAATGACTTCCACTCATTAACTATTACAAACGACCATATATTTACTCACTGGAAATAGCCTCTGATTTTTGAGACAACAGATAAATCTGTTTGGTATAACACCAAATAAATCTAGGTGGGGTGAATTGGCAAGTTGAAAATAGGTGAATTTCATAAATTTCTGAATACTGAGTGTGAGATCTTTGGCTTCTCTTATATTCAGCTTTTATTTGGCTTCCACTAAATGAATGTGTGGCCAGAGAGTAATTATTAGAGTATTAACTTCTTTAAAACTGGTGACATTCACAGCTACTTGGGAGACTGAGGCAGGAGGACTGTAAGTTTGAGGCCAGCTTGCAAAACTTATGAGATCATTTTTCAAGATAAAAGTAAAAAGGACTCAGTGCTAGAGTTTGAACCATGGCCTGCCTGGGGAGGGAATTAGTAATCCTAGAGGTGTGGGCCTGCTGGAAGTAGAAGTCTGAAAAAGTAGTATTAAGGAATAAAAACAAAGGACAAGAAATTCATTGAAAGTGTGGGCTTTATGGGTGGAAAAGACCTGATGGGTCTGATCTTAACAAAGGGGAAAAAGCCCACAAATGCTTTATTTATAGTGAAAGACACCAAAGGAATTTATTGTGAGGAGTGGTTCTTCAAGGTAAATAAGAGGTGGAGGCTGTGTGGAAGTTGCCCTGATCAGGGACTTATCACTTGTGCAGTAATTCTTCATCCTCCAGGCAGCTGGTGCCACAAGGCTGGTTAGGGCACTGGTAACTCTCTCTACCTCTGGAGAGTTGCCTTTGAAACTAGGGCTGTCTGAGCCAATAAATTCTATAGTATCACAGAATTCTCTTTGAGCAGGACATTGCGAAGTCAACGAAGTTGTCTCAAATCAATAAGATAATACTGAGTGTTCTCTGAGGCACTCACCTCTGCTTAGAGATGGCTCAGATATGCTCACAGTTTATCCATGGTTTCCAACACTAGAGTGCTTGAAGAGCATGTGCAAGGCGTGGGTTCAATCTTCATTAACAAACACAGAAACATGCCCCAAACAAACAAACAAACTGGTGGCAAAATAGCTTTTTGTTAGTCTAGCAAACTCATAAACTTTAATTGGCTTTCTAGTCCCAATGTAAAAATAGGCCATCAGGGATAATAACTAGTGTGTTTATGATCCTATATCTAGAAGACCACAAAAACTCCATCAGAAAACTTCTAGAGCTGAAAAATAAATTCAGCAAAGTAACAGAAAACAAAGTCAATATAAAAAAAAACAATAACTTTGTTAGCTCCAATAATTAATCTATTGAGAAAGAAATCAGGAAAACTCTCCCATTTTCAATAACTTCAACACCCAGAAATACTTAGGAATAAATCTAACCAAGGAGTGAAAAATCTCTACAATGAAAAATATAGAATGCTGAAGAAAGAAATTGAAGAAGATCT